TCCTAAGGGTAACCACAGAATATTAAATCGACTTCTGAGTGTTTTCTGAATCCTTTTTTGCTATTAATAGTTGATTTTCGCTGCTTAAGAAGTTCAAGAAACGTCTTTTAGTTTTCGGCTTGATGGCTGTTTTATTCGTTATGATATTAAAATGAGCGGGCAACAATTTTTCATATGTTTCCCTTGCAGGAAATCTTGCATTTGTTTCAAGTCTTGTGACTACGAATGAACCAATTATATTTAACGTACAAAGCCCCAATATAACAATGGAATTTATTGCTGCTAAGAACGGGGGGGAATTTTAAAAGAGTTTGTTTTGATCTTTCACACTATATCTCATACATACACCTTCAATATATCACAACCTGCTTTGGCTGCCTCTTTCATTAGGTTGTATAATCATCTTTACTTAAGAGATGACGATTAACTTTTGGTTTCACTAAAATAATTTACTTCTATAATTTATTGCATGAAGAAAGAGAGTTAAAATAATATGTACTAATTACAAAACACGATCACATTTTCTTTTTTATCATTTACAGATAAAGTCAAATGTATAAAGATATATCTGACGTAAAGTGAATTTTATCACTTCACACAGAAATTGCAAAGAGTAAGTTTAATAATAAACAATATTTAAGTTAAATACAGCATGTTGTGCGTTCAAAAATGCCGATTGATTAACGAAACGATTTTTACCTTCAATGGTTTATAAATAGGCATAATTTGAAAATTTATTTTCCAATTTGAATGGTTTGCAGAATCCCAAGTATAAATCAAACGACTCAATTCATGCACATCATTAGTCTCATAAAAATTTGTTTAGAAAAATGCATCAGTTAGACACGGTGATGAGACATTGAAATTTCACAATAGGTTGACTTTTATAAAGATCTTTTTTGAAACATCCTGTGTTTGTAACTTTTTGGGAACACCCCGTATAATGTATATATGTACTTAAAGAATGATTCACATGCTGAGATCATCTGCTACAATTGCATTTATCCCTTCCCCCGGGAAATATCCCGCCATATTCATTTCATTTTTTGATCTTCAGTTAGGAACTGAGGCTGTTAGCGATTATACGATGAAGACGTTTTCCCGAAGGAATAATTTGAGAATATTGTGCAGCCAACTGTTTGTATCAAAACTAGTTATAATACAAAACACAAAACGTGAAGCATAAACAATAAAGAAGTTTCCAATAGTGTTTGCGTCAAAAGAGTGAGGAATCCCAAAGGTTTCGGTTTTTTACTTTATTTAAAATTCATTTTTTTGAATGCTGTTTTCATGATAGCTTTGCTTTCATACACTTGGGTTTTATTCTAACTGTGTTGTGGTTTGATATGATACCTGAGAAAGAGTGGTCAGCCATGTTTGAATTTTTGTGGAGTTGCTAATTTGAAACATTTGTGGACACGATTAACTCTGAGATGATGAGCTAATAGCACAAGATATGGATTCAAACGTAAAGCAAGTTAAATCATTCATCGTAAATGTGGAAGTTAAAGTTTAAAGTTGCTTGAGGATCATTCTCTATGGCGTTGTGAAATACAATGTTGTTTCTATTGGGCAAGAACTTTGCTTTTGGATTGTCAAGTCAAGTGTACAGAAATATGAGATTAGAACAGTTGACATTGGATCCGACATGTAACAAGCAGCCTAAGAAGCTTGTGAAGCGTGTGAAATATTTTTTCGTGGATCTGAGGAAGATGATGATAATGCAAATGTGATTGAAATATGTATGTAAACTAAATAAAGGTTTAAAGCGTTATTCTCCAACTAAAATCTATGGAACACCAATGTGGGGAAGTTCAAAATCCCATCGTTCATCATTTCTTGAAACTATTTATAGCTAAGGTTGTCTTTGTCATTGTGGAGTGGAAAATACGATACGTTGGCGCATGTGTTACTTTTGGGCCGAACATCTTCCAACAAGCAAATAGTCCGTTTGTCACAAAAATTATATACAATGCTATATTTCAAGAGTTACGTTTGATAGCAAAAAAATATTGTTCATTGTGTAATAAACGTCTGGGGCATTAAATATACCCTAACGGTCGTACGTAGAGGCGTTTATATTATTTCTATCACTTAGCAAAGCAAAAAAGTTAAACTAAATGCACGTTTCTGACTTCTGAGCACCATCAATCCACTATTATATTTGTGCAAAGCGTCTATTATAGACGAGGCGCTTATTAGAGATACAAGTAGTTCGTTTGATAAAGGTCTTTTTTACATCGAAAAAATTTGGACGAAACATTTTGTACTGTACCTTCGCACTCTTGTAGATAGTCGCGCCTATGCATTATAACAAGTTCCTCTCTATCACGTCTTTGACAACCATTTTATGAAAAATCTGGCGTAAATATTCTGTCAACGTTTACCGCAGTCAGCGGCTTACTACGATTGCAGAAGTATGGACGGAAGAGAAGTGGATATCTTTTTAGTAAAGTAATAACTTCCTTTTAACTCCGCTTTAAACTGCTCAATTGCACTTCTCGCTTTATCAATTACAAAAAATTGATAAAGCTCTTGCACAAGCTGTTTTTTTAACTATGCGTCTATGCAACAGATCAATTATCTTTACATCTTTACATTTTACTTATATTTATGCTATAATTTAGAAGCTTCAAGCGATATCATAATGTAGTTTTTCAATGTAAACTTGGCGTTTTCTTTAATAGTGAAGTACCTGTATTAAAGTCACTTCATTTACCGGAAGTAATCTCAATTTTGTTTAGGTAAAATGACGAACAATATGACATATGTACGAGCTGGACGAAACTTCTGAAATCGAGACCCCCTAAAATGGCAGTGTCGACATAGCTTTACTTACAAAAAAAAGGAATAACCCCTATGAAATGCTTAACGTGTTTAGAAGGTCCCGGTGGTTGTGAAGGGAGGGAAAAATTTGCATAAGATAACAGAGCAAGTTCTATTTCCATCCGTTTTTTCAGACTGACGGATCCGACTATCGGAAGCTCGCTCACTTTATGTATGTTCACACGATCCGTTTTTCTTAATCCGACGAAATCGGATCCGACAAGTCGGATCATGTAAACGGACCTCTGCATACATGAGTCACACGAGTCGTTCGTCTTGTGTCAGTCTTGTGTGGAGTTGTGCCGCAGCCTGCAGTGAGCAATATTTAAAATTCATTATGTTATCATCCACGTAAACGTTAAAGGTTGAAAATGTTTTTCTGGCGATTTATGATCATGATATCAAGAATTATTCCTTCCATCTAATGAAACGGTAAGATAAAGATTTTTTATCCTTACAGGCGACTCGAATTGATTTATATCTGTTGATTTGCAACTGAAACAACATACTAAAGTCAATATTTTATATGTGTTCTTCATCTTTTATAACATATCAATGATCGTAGACAATGTGTGGTAGCTAAATATAATTTTTTTATAATATTGATCTATTTACTTGGATTTATTATCCTTAAATGACGACTCGAATCAAATTTAATTTACGCATCCTATCTAAGTAGAACAAAGACAGTTTTTCATCCGAAATTTACTAAGAACATTGACTATTGTCGATTGTCGGTATGATTCGACCCTATAACTAGTTTGAAAATTGCTTTATTATTCGTGATAAGCATTTAAACATAGTTATTGTCAAACCATAAAATACAACAAACATAAACAAGATATTCAAGTTAGATTTCAAACATTGCATACGAAATGAATATAAGTGAAGCAGAACATTAAATCACTGTGTTTAAAAAGATTTGTTCTTCTTCGAAAGTTGTTTTTGTCATCGTTTGACCTTAAAATTATCGTTATCAAGAATTTTGCATCACTTAGTTTTGTACATCGACATATAATTTTCAATGTTTGATGATATGAAACTTGTTTGTTAATATGTGTTGATTTGCTACTGAAATAACATACTAAAGTCAATATTTTTTATGTTTTCTCCATCTTTTGTAACTGATCAATGATTGTGGACAATGTGTGGTCGCTAAATATAATTTTTGTTACAAGATTTATCTATTTACTTGGATTCATTCATGTACAGGAAGATCAATAATTGTTGGGTTGGGGCTCATATTACAAACAAACAAACAAACAACATTTGTATACCGGCCAGTATTAATCCCCGCCAGGGGGGTTGACCGGTCCATGAATTTTTCCACGCCAAACGTCTCTATCTCTCGCCATATCTCTCGTTATACCCATCGCCTTCATATCACTGTTCACAGCATCCATCCATCTCTTTCTCTGTCTACCTCGTTTGCGGACTCCATCAACATTCATATGCAAGGTTCTACGAATTTTAGCACTTTCTTCCCTCCTTTCCACATGCCCAAACCACCTCAAATTAGTTCATATTAATTGGGGCTCATATTAATTTATGTATATTGTGTGTTCAGTTGTATTAAGTTTTTTTCAAATACATTGTACACCCCACCAATTATCCATCTTCCTACAACTATGCTTGCATTTTTATTCTTCAAATGCTAGTTATTTCATGTAGTTTTTGTGTAGTTTCCCATGAAACAGTAATCAAACCAATAACAAATAGTTTCAGTTTTAGGTGTACACAATATGATATATGTTGCATGTGTCGAGCTCCTTTGAAAACCATTGTTGTGTGTGGATTATCACATGCAAATGAATATGAGCACCTCACCCCAATTATATTTTTCCTTCTTAGGTACTAAGTAGCAAATCGAGCGTTAGACCAAATAAGTTATAGCCGACCATTTTTTATTAAAATCTGGCTCTTGGTTAGGAATTTGACTTTCTAAGGAATAAAATTAACAGTGGCATAACCAGACCTGTGTGATATTTAGTCCTGCTTTGTATATTTTATCTTCTTTTACTCTGAAAATAATAGATTTTTAAAGAATACTGTTGTTCATCCCTACATTTTATGTTTGAGTCTTAACTATATTTTTTATATATGTTGTACATCAGGTTTTTCATTATAAACGTGACAAATTATGTACCATAAAAGTTTGAGCTACCTTTTTTCAGGAAACATTGACATGGAGTCTGTCTTGAGCTCTAAAAAGAAAACTAATGGTTTTAAGTTGATGAGATTAATTGTTGATGTTGGTGGAGAAGCTTTAAGAATAACATTGAGGAAACAACTGTCAGGTACTGATTTATTTTATAATTTAAATAACAATAAAAATTATGATAAACTTTTGTTGCTAAATGATAAGCAAATAAAGCAACATCAATGGGATATACTGTATCCTCCTCCTCCAATATTATCAAATGAAAATAAGTTTGACGTTACTTTACTTTGTTTTCTCCTCCGTAATATTTGTGGTTTAAAACCACCTCATGATCCAATATGGGAAAACATACCCAATGTCACTGATTATTCAACTGAAGCAGATATTACCCGTATCAGGTTATTTTGTAATGATCATTTTGCTCACTTACCTAGCACTTCAGTAAGCTTTGATGAATTTGAGAATCATTGGCTTGAAATAAGAGAACCATTACTTCGTTTAGGAATAGGTCAGGAAGAAATAGATAGATTAAAAAATGAGTTGTTTGGTAATGAAGAATGAGAAAGAATTTTGAGAGAATGGGGTAGATCAAAGAGTGATTCAAAAGTTTTAAAATCACAAATTACGAATGCTGTAAAGGATGTCGGTGTGATAGTGATAATTTAGAATTAGTAGGAGACGATATCAAAGAAATCAAAGCTCGTGAACATGGACTTAATTCAATTCCCGAACACGGTATCTTGACTAAAAACCTTGTAAGTTGTAACTTTGAAAGTGAAATTAGTCAACACTACCAAAAATACTTCCATGGAACACGGGAATGGGTTTTTGATGAGTTTTAAATTGGTTCGAAGAAGACAGTTCTCAAAATCGTGCATTTATTATTTTTGCTGTTGCTGGTATGGGTAAGTCTATCATTGCAGCTACTTTATGTAAACGTTATCCAAGTTATTTCGTTGCAGTTCATTTCTTTCAACACAACAACAGTCGTTACAATAAAGCAAATGTACTTCTTCAATTTTTAGCGATGCAAGTTAGTCGTCATTTTCCTGCTTACAAACAACTTCTTGTGAAGAAACTTTCAGGTCAACACTCTGAGCCTTTGAATAACATGAATGTTGAAGGATTATTTTCCCATCTTTTTACTGAGTTGTTTTATAATTTCTCAGAACTTCCCAAGCAAATGTTAGTTGTGCTTGATGCTCTTCATGAATGTGGTTCCGTCTTGTTTTCGTTTTGTAATTACAACAAGACCTAACGAAGTTGCTTTGAATAAGTTCAAAAAATTAAATCCACTGTACATTAATTGTAGCGATGATCGCACTTTGAAGGATATTAATGTATTGATTGGTTCTATTGACAGCTTTCCTGATTTTATAAATACTTGGACACAAAAAGCTGACGAACTTATGTTGCTTGCATCGCTTCTTACCAGTGAAGTCAAAAATCAGGATTTATCGAGAGGTTCCATACCAAAAGTTCTCAACGAATATTACGAAATTTGCTTAACAAGATGAAGTAAGGAATAAGATTCGTTCCATATATTATAAACTTTTATTTTATATTTATATATATTTTAGTAACGATGTGTTTGCTAGTGTCTAGATATAGCTAGGTTTGACTGTCTATGATAAACTTTTATTTTGTATTTATCATTTATATTTTAGTGACGATGTGTTTGCTAGTGTCTAGATATAGCTAGGTTAGACTGTCTATGATAAACTTTTATTTTATATTTATCATTTATATTTTAGTGACGATGTGTTTGCTAGTGTCTAGATATAGCTAGGTTAGACTGTCTATGATAAACTTTTATTTTATATTTATCATTTATATTTAAGTAACGATGTGTTTGCTAGTGTCTAGATATAGCTAGGTTAGACTGTCTATGAGAAGCTTTTATTTTATATTTATCATTTATATTTTAGTGACGATGTGTTTGCTAGTGTCTAGATATAGCTAGGTTTGACTGTCTATGATAAACTTTTATTTCATATTTATCATTTATATTTTAGTAACCATGTGTTTGCTAGAGCCGACGCTTCCAATGTTCTTGCTTACAATATCATCATGTTGAGTACAGATCTACATAGTTCACAGGTTACACAGACTTTACTATGATTTGGTGTGAAATTGACTTTGTGTAAGATCACGTGACTTCATCGTAATCACGTGGAATTCTTTTTCAGGTTAAGCGAAAGATAACCAAACATGAACTGTGGTATAAATAATAGTAAAGATCATCCATTAAAATATCTTGAAGCACTTTATGATATGAGACAGAGAGCCAGGCCCCTTGGCAAAATTCTTGGGTCCACTAAAATATATTATTTTATTAAAATTAATTACAACAATGGTTGTGGCTCCCCTTCCCTTTTATCTCCTCCCCCTTGACAGAAAATCCTGGCTACTGCAATGATATATCATTGCTGTTAAATACTATAGATGAAGGAATGACTAAGAAGAACTGCAAAGATGACTTCATCTTACTAAGTTCTGACTTTCCAGGCTGCTGTCGAGACTGCTGAGTAGCTCGAGATGTCTGTCTGACATTGTGCATTTACAAAACTGAAGCTTGTGTATTTAGTTTCTTTTCCTTACTTATAACCCTACTTATAAGAATTCTATAACTTTTCAGTACTTATAACCAATTTTTTTCTGCGCCAATCTCAAATATTTTCTGGGACATGATCCACGAAAACCTCTTCATCGCCAACCTAAAATCTTCACTTAACACCCAAGGCAGCTTCATTTCTCTTAAGCTTTTCTAGTCTCAACACCTCAACCTAACTATACATCACATCACACTTACACATCAACAGTAATCTAATACCTCTAACTATGTAAATTACCATATATATACCTACATTTCGTTGTTAACTTCCTTATTAGTCTGAAGATGTCTTGAGTCAAGACGAAACGTCAGTATTTTAATAAATTTCACAAAACCAAATTGCTTATGGCTGTGTTCAAAATTATATGTTGGGCTGTAATATTTATATTGAGAATCTGTTTCCCGCCTGGCACCTCACTGGCAACAATATAGATAATTTCTTTTCTACATAAAAGGAAAAACATGCTCAGAAAAAGTTGTGATCTTTTATAAAAACAAGACTATAATTTACCATAATATTTCAATTACGGTAATACTACAAAGCCATCTTTTCTTCATCTACAAAAATCAACACAGAAAAGAGATTTCAGCCATATATGAAGACCATGTAAAGTCTAACCATAATTTTCAAGAAATTTCATGCAATCAATCTACAAGCTTTCTCAAATTTTCGTGCATTCTTTTGCAAAAGCAAAATGTTTCCATAGTTGCGTAAAGACATTTTGAATTGAAGAACTGGTAAGACGACCGGTGCTTTGTACCCCACTCATGTACCCACTCTATCTGCTAATCTTCAGTCTCGGAATTTCAGAAAAGAAATTTGTCATGCATTCATGATCGATACGAATACTTTTTGGCATCTTCTATTGAAAATAATTTTCTGAATCATATTGGTGACTACGTTATGCAACGTGTTGAAATGAAGAATTAGACGTTTAGGTCATATGTGGTGAGTAAAATTGTATAACACATTAATTTTGAAATGATATTGTTAGCCACTCTACTATTGTATCAAAGTTCTTTAGTTTGGCTAAATTGTGAAATACCAGGTACACAGATACGCATTGAGCATGCTATAATGCCATAATAAATTCATTATGGGATGATTTCAAGTTCCGAGACAATAGAAATCAATGTCAACTCTTTCCCGGCGGACACGATAAACGAGGGACAAATATATGTCCCCATTGAGTTTATTGTCTATAAATTTCGTTATATACAACGTACAAAGACAAATTTACCTATGAATTTTAGCTAATACATTACAATGTTTGTAGAGTAATAGAAAATATTACGATGCTACTATGGTATCGACATATATGGTATGGATTATTTCGCTAGAAGCCTGGTATCGAGCGGTATTGATTACTCAGTAATCTGTGGTCGCCAATCCCTTATATTGAATATGAATTAGGAAGTGTTCGTGCAATTCTTATGTTATCATCCACAAATATTTTTCTGGCGATATATGATCATGATATCAAGGAATATTCCTTCCATCTAATATAACGGTAAGAATAAGATTTTACATCCTTAGATGGCGACTGGAATTAATTTTATTTTATTTACCTATCTATAAGTAGAACAAAGATGGTTTGTCATTTAAATATTTCTATGAACAATGATCATTGTAGTTACAGTTCAACTCTAAAACTTGTACGAAAATTGCTTTATTATTCGTGATAAGTATTTAAACATGGTTATTGTCAAACCATAATATACAACAAACATAAAGAAGATATTCAAGTTAGATTTCAAACATTGTTTAAGGAAGGAAATGAATATAAGTGAAGCAGAGCATTAAATCACTGTGTTTAACATGATTTGTTCTTGTTCGAAAGTTATTTTTGTCATCGTTTAATCTTAAAATGATCGTTGTAGAGGGTTTTCATCACTTAGTTATGTACATCAACATATTTTGAACTTTGATATGATAAAACTTGTTTGTTGATATGTGTTGATTTGCTACTGAAATAACATACTAAAGTCAATATTTTATATGTGTTCTACATCTTTTATAACTGATCAATGATTGTGGACAATGTGTGGTTGCTAAATATATTTTTGTTACAAGATTTATCTATTTACTTCGATTCATTTATGTACAGGAAGATCAATAATTGTTGAGTTGGGGCTCATATTAATTTATGTACATGATATGTTTTTATTCTTCAGTTGCTAGCTATTTCATGTAGTTTGCCTATTTTTTTTGAATAATAATCTAACCAATGAAAAATGGTTTTGGTCATAGGTGTACAGATTCTTACATCTTTTACACAATTTTTGGATCAACTCTCATAAAAGTTATGCCCACCAATTTTTCATTGGTTTCCTTATTACATTTGTTTTGTTGACCATTTTTATTGCTTTCATCACTTTTGTTGACTTCTTGACACACACCCTTTTTTAGCAAGAAAAACTGTGGCAGGACTGTAGGATGATTGTTAATTTGGAGATCATATTATGTATGCATAATATAGGCTACATGTGTTACGTTCCTTTGAAAACCATTGTTGTGTAGGGATAATTACATCCAAATGTTTATGTCACCCCAACCACATTATAGAGAATATACAGTAGGACCACTTTCTGTGCAACTTACTGCTGTATATATAATTATATTACTGGGTGTAGTTTGCCAGCTCAGTGCACCTATTGGTCAAAAAATGGTAGTGTCTGACTGCCACTATGGTATTAACTTGCGGAATAAAATATACATGGCACAAAAATATTCAGTGCAATCTACTGTATGTTCTCTATAAAATTATACTATATGTTCCTATAACCGTGTCCTAATTACATTATGTCTTCCTTAGGTATTAAGTCGTGAATGAAGTATTAGTTCAAATAAATTACACCTGCTCATTTTTTTTATCACAAAACCTTTTAAACCATGATAGGGGTTATGCATTTTTAAACAATAAAAGTTTCAGTGGTGTAGCCAGACTGATAAAATGTTTAGTCCTTCTATGTACGTTTCTTTATACTTTTACTGTGAAAATAATATTTTACCTTGTGAGTCTTAAACTATTTCTTCCACCAACAAAATTTTTAGCAATATCAAATCTGTTGATGGTTTAAGTCTCGTTGAAGAAAAAATTTTGAATTTTGTCAAATCGTTTGATTTTTGTAAAGCGTTATATTCACTAAAATCGTATATTCTTGTTAACCATGTCCGTGATAATGAGGAGTCTGAGACTAGCTAATTTTCTGACGTCATCCAAGGTACTCATGTTACACGAGTCGTGTATTCAATTGCTATCAAGTCAATGCTGGCTGAGGCACAACTTAAGTCTATAAGCGCCTAAAAGCATTGCCTTTGCACTAGTAAAAACAGAAAAAAGGTAAATAGTTGCGTTGCGGCCAATTGTACAAATGAGTTAAGCCTTTGCTCTCGTATGAGTCTTCACACTATGCCTTATAATGATAAAAGGCCCGAGGCCAAGCTAAGATGGAATATGTGGGTTTTAAAGTGAAGCGCGTATTTGTGCCTTCCAGTGCTTCAACACTTTGTTCGGCTCGATTAAAACCAGAGGATTTGGAGCGTCAGTTTAGTAGTTTGCCGAATCAAAAGAACGCTAATTTTCCACGCCTTAAAATAGATGAGATTAGAATTTGTGTCTTTCCGACCATCCATGCTTTGGAGTGAAAGTCCGAATCATCGCTCAAGTTTCATTGCTTTCCGAGTTTTCTGTCACGTATCCCCCGGAATAAAGTTTTTGTCAGAATTATCTGACTGAACACTCAATTCTGATTTTGATTTATCGCTTTCTTTGCAAGACATAATTTTCTCGAATATAATAATTAAACAGCGCGAAAGAACGTATATGTTTAAAATAAGCTAAATATGCCAGAATGCTCACTATATTCGATGACGTCAAAATACCTTCTAGTGCCAGTCTCTTCTGTATTATAGAAAACGACGGCGTGGGGAAAGCTTGTTGATTTGACCAAATTTTTGAAATTTTTTCTCAGAAAGACTTAAAAGTCATAGACAAATTTCATATTGCTAAAAAAATTTTGGTGGCAATAATGAAAAAGTGTCCGAGTGAGGCAGTGTCTGTCTGTCTGTCGTGATATCTTCGGTTGTGTCCTCGTTCATAGTTGCAAGTACGAACGATAACGAATAGTATTGTTTTGTCTAGTATAGTCAATGCGTGGAACTTAATACCTACACTGTGCAGCTCGTGCTTGTATTTTGTTTGGTATTTTATTCGTATATTCACGTTGTTTATCTCTCACCCTGTGTTCTGTTTTTTGGTGAGAAAAATGTAAAGTAGACAGGATATAGTTTTTTTATATTTATTTCAATTAGTAATGACGACGATTTGGATTTAACAGATCGTCAAAAATGGCGAAGAATTTAAATATATTATGGTCCTATGGAAATAACTACATCAGCAATGGTATATGTACCATGTGCAATGCCTCCTCATTTTAACAATTAACATAAAAATTTAAATTGGAACAGAATCATCGGCAACATAGTCCTATCGATAAGCAAAAATTCGTACAACACAACAAACCGATTTCATATCTCTTTTCACCACACCATTGTTAGACAAATAAGACATAATATTTACTTAAAAAAATTGTTTTAATTCAAATTGGCGAAGAACTTATCGTTCTATCATTGAAATTTATGAGATTAATAAGGACATGGCAACTGTATTGTTTTTTGCAAGCTTCCTTTGCACGATATTAGCACGTGAACACCAGCAGACGTAACATGCACTGAGCGTAGGGGAGCAATAAAAAGGAAAGATAATGATAATTACTGGACATTTTTGTTATACATTGAGCACAGAGAACGTTTTTTACCAAAGAGAAGTGCCAAAGGAAGGAATGATTTCATTTTGAGACATTTTGACATAAGAATTTTTTTGTTATTTCTCATATGTTATTATTACGGAAAGACCTTGGGACTTGACTTGGGAATGACCTTGGGATTTCACTTAATTTAATGAAAAATACAACACTAAGCAGTTGGACTACTGACTACTAATTGTTCCATGTACTGTAACTCTGGTCAAGGCTACCTACATGTACACACTTGTACCTATTTTTATGTACCTTGTACATCTGGGTACCGTTGCACGAAGTTGGATAGCATTAATCGTTGGATAATAAAAGTTTCAAACTTGTAGAAAAAGATGTTTATATTTTCTTTAGGTGAAAGGAATTTTGTAATCTTAGAAGCAATATTTTATTTCAATGATTGCTCAGTTCAAATCTCATATTATTCCCTTTTAAGAGATTTTGTAAAAGTTCAAAACAATTTGCCATCTTATGGATAGAACTATTCTGCCTTTATGTAACCGACCGCAGGTTTTCCTTTATAATCACAATGAATTTGTACCATGGAAGTGTTACCTCCTTTTTTTCTGCAGGGAGCAACATTATGTCTGTGTTGAGCTCAGACATGACAACTAATGGTTTTAAGTTGATGACATTAATTGTTGATGTTGGTGGAGAAGCTTTAAGAATAACATTGAGGAAACAACTGTCAGGTACTGATTTATTTAATGTTTTAAATGACAGAAAGAATTATCGTAAGCTTTTGTTGCTAAAAGATAAGCAAATAAAGCAACATCAATGGGATCTATTGTATCCTCCTCCTCCAACATTACCAAATGAAAATAAGTTTGACATTACTCTACTTTGTATACTTCTGCGTAATATTTGTGGTTTAAAACCACCACGTGATCCAATATGGACGTCAGTAAATAATCCCACTGATTATTCAACTGAAGCAAATATTACCCGTGTTAGGTTATTTCGTAATGATTATTTTGCTCACTTACCTGACACTTCAGTAAGCTTTAATGAATTTGAAGATGTTTGGGTAAAAATAAGCGAACCATTAGTTCGTTTAGGAATAAGTCAGGAGGAAATAGATAGAATAACGAGTGAAGTGTATGGTAATGAGGAATATAAAAGGATTTTGAGAGAATGGGATGAATTAAAGAGTGATTTAGAAGTTTTAAAATCAGATCACAAGGAAATTAAGAATACCTTAAAAGATGTCGGTGCAAATGTTGTGAAAGTGATAGATAAATTAGAATTAGTAGGAGATGATATTAAAGGAATGAAAGCTAGTGGACATGGACTTACTTCAGTTTCAGAAGACGGTGTTTTGGCAAAACACCTTGTTAGCTGTAACTCTGAAAGTGAAATTAGGCATCATTATGAAAAGTATTTGCATGGAACACGTGAATGGGTTTTTAAAGAGTTTTTAGATTGGTTTGAAGACGATACTTCTCAAAATCGTGCATTTGTTATTTCTGCTGTTGCTGGAATGGGTAAGTCTGTAATTGCGGCTACTTTATGTAAACGTTTTCCTCATTACTTGACTGCAGCTCATTTCTTTCAACATAACAACAGTCGTTACAATAAAGCCAATGTACTTCTTCAATCTTTAGCGATGCAAGTTAGTCGTAAGTTTCCTGCTTACAAACAACTTCTTGTGGAAAAACTTTCAGGTCAACTCTCTGAGCCTTTGAATAACATGAATGTGGAAGGATTATTTTCCCTTCTTTTTACTGAGTTGTTTTGTAATATCTCAGAACTTCCCAAGCGAATGTTAGTTGTGCTGGATGCCCTTGATGAATGTGGTTATCCAGAAAGAGACGACCTTGCTTATTTGATTGCTCATCACTTGCACAAACTTCCGCCTTGTTTTCGCTTTGTAATTACAACCAGACCTAACGAAGTTGCTTTGAATAAGTTCGAAAAATTAAATCCACTGTTCATTAATTGTAGCGATGATCGCAATTTAGAGGATATTAAATTATTGATTGAAGAAAGAATTGGCTCAACTGACAGCCTTTCTGATGTTAAGAACAGTTTGGCAGAAAAAGCTGACGGACTTATATTGCTTGCTTCGCTTCTTAGCAGTGAAGTCAAAAATCAGGATTTGTTGAATGCGTCCATACCAAAAGATCTCAGTGAATTTTACAAAATTTCCTTAACAAGAATAAGTAAGGAATTAGATTCGTTTGATATCAGTAACGAAAAGTTTCAGTCAATTTTAAATGCTCTGGCTGTTGCTAAAGAACCTCTCCCTTGGAAAATGATCGATGACGTTCTTTGTTTGAATTCGAGTCGCGACTCGCTTGCGGTTAGAAAAATTATCTCTTGTCTGTTTGTTAGCAATGGAGAAGGATGTATTTCATTTTTTCACAAATCCTTAAACGATTGGTTGTTGGATTATCGAGAACATGAGTACTCAGTAAAAACTTCTTGTGGTCATCGACTTGTTTTAGAATTTTGTTTAAAATCTTTAAATAACCTCAAAGCTGAAGGTGTAAACTATTACATCATCAAAGAGGCGTCAGTTAGGTATTCAGTCAAGTATTGGTTGCCTCATTTACTCGCTATTTCTGATCATGCTTATATCGTTAAAAATGTTGGTAAATATCTTGTTGACTTGGAAGTTTTAGTTGCTTCTGTGTTGGTTGATGGTAGTCGGACTTTTAAAAATTTTAAATTATTCAACGCACATGATGTGTACTTTCTTATTTCTGAGGACATTCGATTCTTATTTAATGAAGTTTATTCTGTAATGATGAACTCTGTGCTCTCTGACAATGAATTAATTTGTTTGCAATACGTTGCCAACGAAGTCAAAGATCTGTCGTCTCAAGCCACCACAATGCTTGAAACACGTTTCAAAGATTTACCATATGTAAAGTGCAGAGACACGGGTTTTGTAAAGGCTCAATTATTACGTTTAAATCAATATTTGATCTCTGTTGATGTTTCAAGAAATCATGATTACGTCGTCTGTGGTTATGAAGGATTCATCGTGCAACTTTTTTCATTGAGAACAAACAGATGTTTGTGGATAAAAAATATTGCTGGTCAGTTTAAGCTATATAAAAACAAAGAAGTTTGCGTTGTCTTTCATCCGTTCGAAGATTTGATTTTTGCTTCTCAGCTTGATAAGATATTAGATATTAATGGTAAGATTTCCTCCAGTCCTTTCCATTGTGATGATTCTACTTCTAAGTTCTTTAGCAACAAATGTTTTTCTAAGGATAAGTACACAATGGTCACTAGTTACAAAGATACTTTGACAGTATGGGACGTTGAAAAAGGTGAGAAGAAACACAGTATTAGATGTAATAATGTGACCTCACTGTGTTTTTCTAATTCTGGAAGATATTTGTGTGTTATTGAGGAAGACATAGTGGTTCAAATATTGGATGTAGCGAATAATTATGAAACATTCGTTTACAACGATCATTTACCGTCTGGTAATTTTTGTCAGTATGGTGTTTTGTACACTGTTGGTCTTCATTCTTGGTGTTGTGTTTGGTCTCCTATCTTCGTGAGTAAACCTTTCATTGTGAATCCCACTGGGGAGAAACTTCCTGACTTAGATCCTGTTTCCCAAACTTTGTTTTTTCCTCTTGATCCTTTCGATTACAACAGATCTAGCTTTTCCTTTAATGTATTAGGAAAGCATTATTTTATTTTGAATAACGACAATGTTCTATCGTTTGAATACGGATGTGACTTTTATCTTTATTCAATACCGCGAGCATGTTTAACTAAAAGTTACTGTTTTTATAACAAGAAATTTTGCTCAAATAGAAAATTTCTGTATCGGAGCAATGAAGGAAAATCAAGGGTAATTATATACAATCTCAACACATTTGACTTTGTTGTCAAGGAATGTTTTTTTAGTGACATGGTTGCTGTAGAAAATGGAGTTATTTTGCTTACGGCAAAAAATATTCCTGAGCTTTGGAATAATGATTTAACAAAACTTGTTTATAGTTTTGATGAACTAAAAGGTACAAACAAAATTTTTGAGGTGAGTGATGTATCATTTGCTTGTCAAAAAACTGATTCTTTTGTGTTTTTCAATGTTGAAAACAAGCGAAAAGAAATATCAGTGAATTTTGTAAATTATCGAAATGTGCACGTATTTGCATGTAGCTCTAAGTATCACGTGTTTGCTAAAGTTGAATTTAAGGATCAAATAATTTACTGTATGTGGCATGAAGACAAACTTGTTGATGGTTGGGATGACGTAATTAAAGAGGAATTCGCCAATTTAATCGCCGACAAATATGTTGGAGAGTACCTGCGTGATAATACTCCCTGTATAAATTACGCTGCTTTTTCACCTTCAGCAGATAAATTATTAATAAGTGACAAGCGCTGGTATGTGAAAGTATTTGGTGTTGAAAACTTACAAGTTACTTATAGCTATACTAACGTTTTTTCTAAGTTTTTCTTTGTTGATGATAGGTATATAATTAGTGATCACTTACGTTTGATTGATTTGAAATGTTTTAAAATTGTAGGTTCATCTCTCGCATTTAAGAGTAAACAACGTCAAACAAATTTTCATTACTGTCGTAAACGCAAACTTGCTTTATTTTTTTCTTCCTTAAAGGTCCCTGTACAATGCGTAAAAATCATCTTGCCACGGGAATAAATTTGATCTTTGATGATAAAATTTCTCACCATTTTGGATAATGACTATATTATCTTTAAGAAAATCTTGTTCGGTTTTTTCATGATCCCTATCATTGTTGACATTTAAATTAATATTTGTTTGCGTATGATTTCATGAAATGACCTTTGTCTGATTTTGATTGTTCTATACAGAGACCGCAGTGTACGATAATGTCAACATTGAGAGAGATCATGTATAAAAGCTGAAGTCAAGTAAAGATGAAAATTCAATGACAATAAAGGCAAACCATAAACACAAATGATTTCGTGTCTAAGATAATAATTTTCCTTGCACAAGAAAATAATTTTATTGACTTTTATCTTCTCGCACAAACATATACAATGCAAACTTTTCTTAGTTATTGTACCATAGGTTATATTTTGTTTATATCTACACCATGTAAACATATAATTTTCATGCAAATGTGTTCAGTGTAGGATGGTTTAAATATTGCACGTTTTTCGATACTCTTTTACACCAAAAACAAGTTGTTACTAATTAAATCAATACTATCTTGCACTGAAATAATTTCTTAATACTTTTCATTTATTGCATTTTGATATACAAAATATCTATGTGTTAAGTTGTTAAGAGAGACAAGGACAGCCCAATTGTTACTTCGGTTATATCAATATTTTCATCCTTATTAATTTGAAAAACGTAAATTCATAAGAAAACAATGGTACCTTTGCTAATTTTTTCAAGAAAAACTTAAAATTTGGCTGTCTTTCTCACTGACTGTTAAAAAGTAAATCGTAAAATCCACAAGAAAATGACTTATGATTGACGTTCGTCATCGTGACAGACAATTTAGCCATTGTGACTGAACACTCCAAACCGTATGAACAGGAAAAGTTAACAAAAGTCAAAGAAAATTTTGCAAAATAGAGAGACAGAAAACAAACGACAATGTTGCGTATGGAAGGATGTTTAATGAAAAGTTTTTAACTTTTACTGAAAATCGATGTCAAGCATTGTTAAAGTTTAAACACTTTTACTTTGTGAATCAATACTTTATGGGAATTATTTTTTAACAACATCAACTCAACTAACAACATCAGAGGACATGCTGCAATTAAGGCTTGGCTATAAAGTTCCAACGTCTACTCTTAATTCAAACGATAATACAAAAAGTAGTAGCTATATTTCAGAAAGTGACGTAATGAAAGGAATGACAAATTTATGTACCATGGTTCTCTGTGGATTTATTGTTGTACTTTGTATCGTCACCCAGGTCACGTGTTCATTGAAATGTCATCTGTTGTCAAAATTGGAAGATATGAACTTTTACATTTTTAAAATGGTGAAACTGGTTGTTTATTTTGTTCACTTTTTATAAAACTGAAGCGTGAAAATTATCATCTCATGTGGACGTTTTGATGTGAACATAACACAGAAGTAATCATGAGAATGAATAAAAAGAATTTGATTTTACTACATTGTGGCTATTGGAGATGGCTAAAAGGATTTTTTGCTGCATCTATAATTGAAGCTGCTTCTTGATAGAAACACACTAACATTGTGAATATTATGACACTCGATTGCCTTTGCGCATGCTCTGAAATATATATGTACTTGAATGATACTATAACATTTGTGATATGATTTAAGATCTTATCAGCAACATGTCATGGAAATTCAAAGCAAACGTCAACTATGGATGGTTGTAGAATAAAAGTGATCAGTTTAGTTCATATAAATGGTCAACAAATCATTCACAACAAAAGTAACTTCAACATGTAAGAACTGCATCAAGTTATGAGAATGAAAAATATGGAAAAATTTCAACGTCTTTCTTTTTGAAGATGTCATTTTTCTAAATCCACTGTGTTTTATTCTTTATGTAGTGAACAATTTTAGATCATTAAATTTATTTCATTTTGTTGTGTACATATCTACGTATAGTAAATAGATATCTTTCATAATTTCCCATAAACGGACATGTACCGTAAGCAGACATTAGGTCCTGGTCTCAAGGATGTCCGTTTACGAGTAGCTTGACCGTATGCAGACTTTTCATTACTGATCTTTTTCTTTACGTTTCTAGATTTTTCTTATGGTTTTTAAATTTTAAATGCTAAATAAATGAATCCCACATAACTCAACACCATTTTTTAGACTAATAATAATTTGCGAACTGCCATGTGAAGAATACTGGTGCTTTGGAAAAGGAGGTGTCGTATCTTGAATTAAAAATCACCAATTTTTAAAATTAGCATTCAATAGTTGTACAATAACTTTCACTCACATTCAGCAACATAATTTGTTGGTAACCGTCATTTTATCAAAACAGAACAATTGCAGTTGCCATTTTAAAGACTGGTAAGGATTCATTCATTTAGCACTTGTAAAAAATCATTTAGAGAGAAACTTTCTTTTTGCGCAGTGTTTTGTTGATCTTTGTTTTTTAAAGGTATTAACATAGTTTTATTATATTAGTATGTTAATATAAGAAATAATCGTTGTATAAATATGTTTTCTACAAAATTGTTACAATATATGTGTGTTGATCTATATTTAGTGTCTTAAATGATTTTCACATTTGTCCACTACACCAAATCTATATTGAGACTCTCGGGAAATTAGGCTCACTATTTCCTAAGAGAGAGTACATTAAGTGTTTTGTTAGATAGGGAAAAAATCATAAATTTCCACAACTCTTCAATAGAATTAATGTCTTTTTTTTGGGGGGGGGGGAGGATTGGCCTGCAAAATTTCGTTGCAAAATGCTATGATTGACCACAGCAATTTAGGTTATCTTCCGAGTGTTTTCTTAGTTCTTTGTTATTAATAGTTGATTTTCGTCGCTTAATAAGCTCGAGAAATGTTTTTTCAGTTTTCGGTTTGGTGGCTGTTTTATTCGTTAGGATATTAAAATGAGCGGTCAACACCTTTTCACTTAATTTACTGGCAGGAAATCGTGCATTTATTTCAAGTCATGTGACTACTAATGAACCAATCGCAATTACTATACCCAGCACCTATGTAACAATACAACTAATTGTATAAATATGCATAATTCAAAAGTTGATTTGCCGATTTGAATGGTTTGCAGCAATCCAAATCTGAATCAAACGACTTTCATGCACATCATTAGTCTCCTGGAATTTAGTTCAGAAAAATGCATCAGTGGGACATGGTGATCAGGAATTAAATATTCAGAATAAACTGAATTTGATAATACTGTTTTTGATACATCCAGTATTTGTTCCTTTTTGGGAACACCCCGTATAATGTATATATGTACGTAAAGAATGGTTCACAACGTGAGATCATTAGCTACAATTACATCTTTTACACGTAGAATCTTATCAATTTTCTTACATTAAAATTGTAGAAAGCAGATGCTTTATAATTGCTTAATATGTAATTATCATTTATAAGAATCGGACATACGAAAGAATGTTATATGCAGTGCGGTGTTTGAAATTAAATGAAGATATGATCATCCACTTTGCTAGACACTTTAAGCAATTGTCTCATGAAGCTGAAAAATTCAGGTGACTCAACGGAATTCGAACCCATGACCTCTGCGGTGCCGGTACAGTGCACTAAATTGACCTACTCCCCACTGTGTGATTTCAAAGCTCAGTTGGTCAGAGCACTGCACCGGCACCGCAGTGGTCATGGGTTCAAATCCCGTTGAGTGACCTGAATATTTTAAGTTCATGAGACAATTGCTTAAATTGTCCAGCAAAGTGCGAAGATCATATCTTTATTTAGTTTCAAACACCGCACTGCATATAATATTCTTTCGTATGTCATTCCTTTCACAAGAAAACATCAGCCCAACAAAACTGACCTGCTCCCCACTGTGTGATTTAAAAGCTCAGTTGGTCAGAGCACTGCACCGGCACCGCAGAGGTCATGGGTTCGAATCTCGTTGAGTCACCTGAATTTTTCAGGTTCATGAGACAATTGCTTAAATTGTCCAGTAAAGTGCTAAGATCATATCTTCATTTAAGAATCGGACAGGCTGACAGGAGCTTTAATTAGGGATAAAAGTTGTGAGAATACAACAAAAGAATGTACATAGAACTTAAAAGTGTTTGATGTTACTTAGACCTTGTTCAAACTTCGAACTTTGCATGAACCGACCGCATTTAAAACAAAAGATAATAAGGAAACTCATCTCGTTTTCTTTTATCTTTAATGCGTTCGGTGCATATAAAGTTTGACGTTAAAATGGGCCTTAGATTGAAATTAAAAGATATAACAAAAGCACTTCAATCTTGAAGGAGAAGTAACATTTATATTTTTTGATAAGCATACTGAACACCATGTGTTTTTATTGTGTCTAGAATTAATTAAAATTGTATTGTTAGTCTTGGTTTCAGGACTTTCGTACCGGTTTGAGGAAATGGCACATATGCCATGTTGTTCGTTATGGTCATTTTACCCAAAAACAGTTGAGATTACTTCCAATAAATGAAGTGAATACAAACTCTTAAAAACGGGTTTTCGACTATTGCACCATACACTAGTTTATATCTAATTTTCTCATCGTGGAATGTTTGGGTGTCAAGGAGAAGCGTCTTCCTTTCAAATTTTGTTTCATTTCGATATGGGTTAGCCGTTAGTAGTTAGCATTTGATATTCAGACATAAGATTGAGTTTTTATGAAATGTAACAAATTGGATGTATGTTAAATTTGCTATAAGAGGTTTGCCAAATATCGACAACCTCTTTTCCATTTTCCCCGTATGTTTAAAGGTCAGTTAATATTTCTCGTGTCATGGTCGTGTATGCTACTGGACGTAAGTAAGGAACCAAGGCTGTTATACAGCGCGAAGCACCCAGGGTGGTGTATCGATTACAGCCAAAGCTCTATAAAAGTCGTTAATTAACATATTATAAGATGGAAAACGTTTTCCCGAAAGAATCATCTGATTATAGTTGTGCAAAAAATCGATTGTATATCGAAGGTAATTATAATATAAACATAATACGTGAAACCATAAACAATAGAGAAGTGTACATTAGTGTTTGAGTCAAAAGAGTGATGAATCCCAGAGGTGTTTGGTTTTCTACTTTATTAAAAATTCATATTTTTGCGTGCTGTTTCCATGATAGCTTTGCTTTCATATACTTGTGTTTTATTTGAGCTGTGTCTTTGCTTGTTATGGACGTCTGAGACAGTGGCCAGGTATGAATTTTTTGGAGGAGCAAATTTTAAACATTTCTAGACACGATTGACTCTGAAATGAAGCGCTAACAACACAAGATATGGATTCAAACGTACAGCAAGTAAAATCATTCATCGTAAATGTGGAAGTTAAAGTTTAAAGTTGCTTGAGGATCATTCACTATGGCGTTGTGAAATACAATGTTTTTCTATTGGGCAAGAACTTAGCTTTTTCAAGTTGTGAAGTCAAGTGTACAGAAATATGAGATTAAATCAGTTGACAATAGATCCGACTTGTAAAGAGTAGAATAAGAAGCTCGTGGGGTGTGTGAAATATTTTGTCGTGGATCAGAGGAAAATGATGATAATTCAAACGTGAGTGAAATATGAATGTAAACCAAATTCGGGTTTAAAGTGTCATTAACACCGCTTCCACTAGAGAGCCCCCAAACTTGTGATGCTTTTGAGATGAATTCTTTCCAAGGTTTGTGAGTAATATATATTCTCCGTTTACTTGTCAGTCTTTTTATAAAAAGATGTTCCAGTTACATATTATAAAAGAAATGCATCTATTAATTTGATTGTATTGTAATAATGGTGTAAAATATCATTGGGGGAATTCATTCAAGTGGAATATAAAATTAGAGCAGTCAGAAATAATGTGGCTTGTTGCCCATCTTTACTACATTAATATGCCGATTACATGGAGCAATTTTAGCCTGGGCCTGTTATGATATCCTAACATAATAGCGTACGCGTATACATGACAACAATTTCAGCCCAGTTTGAGCTATCCGTGCTGTATTCAGCCCCAGCTGGAAAATCTCTCAGGTAATCGTTCAGCCCGGGCTGAAACCACTGCTGAAATTATTATTCCCGCATGCGTGGCAATGTTAATGCTTTTAACAACAACAAAAAAATGTATTATATTCTGAAATTCCTCGAAGTAAACGAAAACCTCCGAGGAGATTGAGTGAGAACAACAAGATAGACGATTTTTTGACGATCGTCTTAAAAATTCGCTGCGCCACATCTGCAGTACGAATTGCAAATTGCAATTTGAAATTGAGAAAATGGGGCGGTGAATCAAACTTTAATGCATTATTTATTACTTCATCGAAATCATTTGATTTTACTCACTGATCTGATAATAGACTGGATATAGCTTCTACAGGAAGCTAAAGTGAAGCCTAATTATATATCCAAAATTCACTTCCGGGTACCACGGCGAGATACAAATTACTATAAACATGTATGGCGGATAACGTTTACAAACATGGATTTTCGAAAATTTAAGACCTTTCGCGACTCCTTACTAACCTCAAGTATTAGTCATGGATAAAACAGGTTATGCGAATCGATTTGACATCAAAATGATTCCTATAGCTGTAAAATATCGACGTTAGTGTTGATTTAAAAGTTGTACATGCGAGAATGTATTTAGTCCCATCGTTGCCAATGCAAGATAGTTCACTGCTCGCTTTCCAATTTCTGAGGCATTTATGATCTAGTATACGTTTCAGTTCTTTAGAAATGAGGTGAGTTACTTTTTTTATCATTCTTTCTTTATGTTGAGAGATTGTTGACATTTTATTTTTGCTGTTACTTCATTTTTTCATGAGCAAAGTACTACTGATGCTTAAACAAGACAAGTCTATTTAGTTTCATTCGCACTTTATCTTTAGTTTCTATTTCTGTAGTTGTTTTTCTCAAATGGTATAGTCGCACTTTGCGCTTAACTATTTATAGAAGTATGATTTTCATTGACATTAAAATGTAACACATGCGTTCTACACACATTAGGACACTTTAGTAAACTGCTTTTGAAACATCAAGGTAATGTAGCCAGCCAGGTATGAATTTGCAGGCCCTTTAAGAGTGCAAAAGCTGGGTGCATTGTTTAATCTTTATATTCATCTTGGTTTTGGTTTGTCCCTTAAGCAGATTTAAATTATTAACAGCAACATAAGACTGTGTCCACAGTTTATAATTATAAGTGTATCCAATTGTATCCAGTATATCAGTTTCACATTGTCTTGTGCTAATTCCTTTACAGCCATGAATACTGCTTCTCGGCAACAGTTTATTGTCTACAGCTGTAAATTGGTCAACTGTTCGATTATTAAAGTCACACTTCACAAGTGGAATAAAGCTCTTGTCTTTCTTATTACTACAAGACTAGAGACTGATGATCAAACTATTGCTGAAAAGGATTCTAATGTCAACTGCAATTCATATTTATACCATCTCTAACTACATTCATATCTTAAGAATAATTTTAATCTTTTTGGAAAAATATTTAAGGCATTAATATTACATTCATACTAACTATCATCTTCTGGAATTTGCTTAGCACTTAGAAGAGGAAAATGAAATGTACTGAATGTAAAAAGGCAGTAATATCGTACATGGCTGGCTATATTGCCCAGATGGTGCAAAAGAAAATAAACTGTCCTGTTTGTCATGAAGCAGTCGGTTCAAGAAACCATAAAAATGAGTCTGATTTCTTGACTTTAAAAGACAGGGGTAATTTGTTTAAGCCAACAGCAAGTGTTTTAGTAATATGCAATGAAACAGAGAGGTGCTTTCAGAGAATGTTTGGCAGCTACAAATGGAAATTTACCGCAAGGGAAAGGAATTGCTGATGGTATTGCTGTGTCTGTATTAAATGGTATAGATTTGAGGACCACATTCAAGGATCTCGACGCACACATGTTGAATACTACTGTTCACGAAAATCATATTTACTCATTAAGACCATATCTTAATGTTACAGCAAGGTGCGAGTATACCATTTGAGAAAAACAACTACAGAAATAGCAACTAAAGATAAAGTGCGAAAGAAACTAAATAAACTTGTCTTGTTTAAGCATCAGTAGTACTTGAATTTACAGAAAAAATAAAATGTCAACAATCTCTCAACATAAAGAAAGAATGATAAAAAAAGTAACTCATCTCATTTCTAAAGAACTGAAACGTATACTAGATCATAAATGCCTCAGAAATTGGAAAGCGAGCAGTGAACTATCTTGCATTGGCAACGATGGGACAAAATGCATTCTCGCATGTACAACTTTCAAATTAACACTAACGTCGATATTTTACAGCAAAAGGAATCATTTTGATGTCAAATCGATTCGCATAACCTGTTTTATCCATGACTCATACTTGAGGTTAGTAAGGAGTCGCGAAAGGTCTTAAATATTCGAAAATCCATGTTTGTAAACGTTATCCGCCATACATTTCTATAGCAATTTGTATCTCGCCGAGCTACCCGGAAGTGAATTTTGCATGTATAATTAATTAGGCTTCACTTTTGATACTTGTAGAAGCTATATCCAGTTTATTATCAGATCAGTGAATTTACTTCATCCGTATAGAATAAAGCCTGGGCCACACTATCGTCTATATTGACAAAAACGAAAACGAAACGAAATGATATATGATCATGATATCAAGAAATATTCCTTCCACCTAATAAAACGGTAAGATAAAGATTTTGCATCCTTATATGGCAACTCAAATTAATTTCACTTTACGTATCTATCTAAGTAGAACAAAGACAGTTTTTCATTTAAAAATTACTTAAGACTTTGACTAATGTAGGTATGATTCGACCTTAAAGCTAGTTTGCTTTGTTATTCTTGATAAGCATTTAAACATGGTTATTTTCAAACCATAAAATACAACAAACATAAACGAGATATTCAAGCTAGATTACAAACATTGCATTGGAAATGAATATAATTGAAACAGAACATTAAATGACCATGTTTAACATGATTTTTTCTTGTTCGAAAGTAATTCTTGTCATCGTTTAACCTTAAAATGATCGTTGTAGAGGGTTTTCATGACTTAGTTTTGTCCATCAACATATTTTTGAACTTTTGATATGATAAAACTTGAATGTTGATATGTGTTGATTGGCTACTGAAATAACATACTAAAGTCAATATTTTATATGTGTTCTTCATCTTTTATAACTGATCAATGATTGTGACAATGTGTGGTCGCTAAATATATTTTTGTTACAATATTTATCTATTTACTTGGATTCATTCGTGTACAGGAAGATCAATAATTGTTGAGTGGGGGCTCATATTAATTTATGTATATGATATGTTTTTATTCTTCAGTTGCTAGCTACTTCATGTAGTTTGCCTATTTTTTTTAGAATAATAATCTAACCAATGAAAAATAGTTTTGGTCATAGGCGTGCAGATTCTTACATCTTTTACACAATTTTGGATCAACATTCATAAAAATTATGTCCACCAATTTTTCATTGGTTTTCTTATTACAATGTTTTGTTGACCATTGTTATTGCTTTCATCACTTTTGTTGACTTCTTGACACATTCCCTTTTTTAGCAAGAAAAACTGTGGCAGGACTGTAGGATGATTGTTAATTTGGAGATCATATTATGTATTCATAATATAGGCTACATGTGTTAAGTTCCTTTGAAAACCATTGTTGTCTAGGGATCATTACATCCAAATGTTTATGTCACCCCAACCATAGTATAGAGAATATACAGTGGTAATATGGTACAGTGCCACTATGGTAATAACCTGCGGAATAAGATATGCATGGCACAAAAATACTCAATGCAATCTACTGTATGTTCTCTATAAAATTATACTATATTTTCCTATAACCGTGTCCCAATTACATTATGTCTTCCTTAGGTCCTAAGTCGTGAATGAAGTATTAGTTCAAAAAAATTACACCTGCTCATTTTTTTTATCATAATACCTTCTAAACAATGATAATGGTTATGAATTTTTAAAGAATAAAATTTTCAGTGGTGTAGCCAGACTGATAAAATGTTTAGTCCTTCTATGTACGTTTTTATATTCTTTTACTGTGAAAATAATAGGCATTTTACCTTGTGAGTCTTAAAGTGTCCCTTCCACCAGAAAAAATTTTTTAGCAATATTAAATCTGTCGATGATTTTAAGCCTCGTTAAAGAAAAAGTTTTGAATTTGGTCAAATCGTTTGATTCTTGTAAAAGCGTTAAATTCACTAAAATCGTATATTCTTGTGAGCCATGTCCGTGATAATGAGGAGTCTGAAACTAGCTAATTTTCTGACGTCATCCAAGGTAGTCGTGTTACACGAGTCGTGTATTCAATTGCTATCAAGTCAATGCTGGCTGAGGCACAACTTAAGTCTATAAGCGCCTAAAAGGATTGCCTTTGCACTAGTAAACTCAGAAAAAAGGTAAATAGTTGCGTTGCAGCCAATTGTACGAATGAGTCAAGCCTTTGCTCTCGTTTGAGTCTTCATACTATGCCTTATAATGATAAAAGACCCGAGGACAAAAGAAGACGGAATATCTGGGTTTTAGAGCAAAGCGTGTATTTGAGCCTTCCTGTGCTTCAACACTTTGTTTAGCTCGCATAAAACCAGAAGATTTGGAGCGTCAGTTTAGTAGTTTGCCGAATCAAATGAACGCTAATTTTTCAGGTCTTAAAAAAGATGAGATTAGAATTTGTGTCTTTCCGACCTTCCATGCTTTTCAGTCAAAATTCGAATCATTATCGTTCAAGTTTCATGGCTTTCCGAGTTTTCTGTTACGTATCCCGGAGTAAAGTTTTTGTCAGAATTAACAGACTGAACACTGAATTCTCATTTTGATTCATCGCTTATTTCGCAAGACATAATTTTCTCGAATATTATAATTAAACAGCGTGAAGCAACGTATATGTTTAATATAAGCTAAATATGTCCAAATGCTGACTATATTGGATGACGTCAAAATACCTTCTAGTGCCAGTTTCTTTTATAGAAAACGTTGGGCCAAAAATGCACAACTTCAAGATGCCATAAAAGCTTGTTGATTTGACCAAATTTCTGGAATTTTTTCTTAGAAAGGCTTAAAATCATAGACTGATTTCAAATTGCTAAAGAAATATTTTGGTGGCAGTACTGAAAAAGTGTTTGAGTGAGGCAGTGTCAGTCTGTCCGTCGTGATATCTTTGGCTGTATTCATGTTCATAGTCGCAAATGCGAACGATAACGAATAATATTGTTTTGTCTAGTATAGTCAATGCTTGGAACTTGATAGCTACACTGTGCAGTCCGTGCTTGTATTTTGTTCTGTATTTTATTTGTATATTACGTTGTTTATCTCTCACCCTGTGTTCTGTGTTTTGGTGAGGAAAATGTAAAGCAGACAGGATATAGTTTTCTTTATATTTATTTCAATTAGTAATGACAACGATTTGGATTTAACAGATCGTCAAAAATGACGAAGAATTTAAATATATTATGGCCCTATGGAAAATAACTACATCAGCAATGATATATGTACCATGTGCAATGACTCCTCGTTTTAACAATAAACATAAAAATTTAAATTGAAGCAGAATCATCGGCAACATAAGTCCTATCAATAAGCAAAAATTCGTACAACACAACAAACCGATTTCATATATCTTTTCACCACACCATTGTTAGACAAATAAGATATAATATTCATTTAAAAAAATCGTTTTAATTCAAAATGGTAAAGAACTTATCGTTCTATCATTGAAATTTATGAGATTTATAAGGACTTGGCAATTATATTTTTTTTTCGAGCTTCCTTTGCACGATATTAGCACGTGAACACCAGCACACATAACATGCACTGAGGGTAGAAGAGCAATAAAAAGGAAAGATAATGATAATTACTGGGGATTTTTATTAAACATTGAGCACAGAGAACGTTTTGTACCAAAAAGAAGTGCCAAAGGAAGGAATGATTTCATTTTGTGGCATTTTGAAATGAAAATATTTGTTGTTATTTTGCATATGTTATTATTACGGAATGGCCTTGTGACTTCACTTAATTTAATGAAAAATACAACACTAAGCAGTTGGACTACTGGCTACTGTTTGTTCCATGTACTCTAACTCTGGTCAAGGCTACCCACATTTACACACTCGTACCTATTTTTTATGTACCTTGTACATCTGGGGACGATTGCACGAAGCCTGGATAGCATTATTCGTCGGATAGTAAAATTTTCAGACTTGTAGAAAAAAGTGTTTTATTTTTCTTTGGTGAAAGAAATTTTTGTAATCTTAGAAGCAATATTTTTAGTTCAATGATTACTCAGTTCAAATCACATATTATTCCCTTGTAAGAGATTTTGTAAAAGTTTAGAACAATTTGTCATCTAATAGATAAAACTATTCTGCCTTCATGTAACCAGCCCCAGGTTTTCCTTTATAATCACAATGAATTTGTACCATGGAAGTCTTACCTACTTTTTTTCTGCAGGGAACAACATTATGTCTGTCTTGAGCTCAGACATGACATATAATGGTTTTAAGTTGATGAGATTAATTGTTGATGTTGGTGGAGAAGCTTTAAGAATAACATTGAGGAAACAACTGTCAGGTACTGATTTATTTTATGTTTTAAATGACAGAATAAATTATCGTACGCTTTTGTCTCTAAAAGATAAGCAAATAAAGCAACATCAATGGGATCTACTGTATCCTTCTCCTCCAATATTACCAAATGAAAATAAGTTTGACATTACTTTACTTTGTGTTCTCCTGCGTAATATTTGTGGTTTAAAATCACCTCGTGATCCAATATGGGAAAACATGCCTAATGTCACTGTTTATTCAACTGAAGCAGATATTACCCGTATCAGGTTATTTCGTAATGGTCGTTTTGCTCACTTACCTAGCACTTCAGTAAGCTCTGATGACTTTGAAAATTTTTGGCTGGAAATAAGCGAACCATTAGGTCGTTTAGGAATAAGACAGGAAGAAATAGATAGATTGAAAAACGAAATGTTTGGTAAAGAAGAATGTGAAAGAATTTTAAGTGAATGGGATAGATTAAAGAGCGATTTAACTGACATTAAAACTGAGCAGAGAGATATTAAGAAAACAGTGGAGGGTGTAGAGAAAGATTTACAACAGGTAAAAGATAGTCTACAGAATCGTTTATGTGTGATTGAAAGTAATCAGGAGGAAATGAAAAGCAATCAGAAAGAAATAAAACGTCAAATTCACTCACGTCCAGTAGAAGATATTTTAACAAATAACCTTGTAAGTTGTAATTTTGAAAGTGAAATTAAACATCATTTTGAAAAATTTTTAGAGGGAACACGGAAATGGGTTTTTGATGAGTTTTTAGCTTGGTTCGAAGACGACAGTTCTCAAAATCGTGCATTTGTTATTTCTGCTGTTGCTGGTATGGGTAAATCTGTAATTGCAGCTACTTTATGTAAACGTTATCCACAATATTTGACTGCAGTTCATTTCCTTCAACACAACAACAGTCGTTACAATAAAGCCAATGTACTTCTTCAATCTTTAGCGATGCAAATTAGTGGTAAGTTTCCTCCTTACAAACAACTTCTTGTGAAGAAACTTTCGGGTCAACTGTGTGAGCCTTTGAATAACATGAATGTGGAAGGATTATTTTCCTTCTTTTACTGAGTTGTTTTATAATATCTCAGAAGCTCCCAAGCGAATGTTAGTTGTACTTGATGCTCTTGATGAATGTGGTTATCCAGAAAGAGATGACCTTGCTTGTTTACTTGCTAATCACTTGCACAAACTTCCGCCTTGTTTTCGCTTTGTAATTACAACCAGACCTAACGAAGTTGCTTTGAATAAGTTCGAAAAATTAAATCCACTGTACATTAACTGTAGCGATGATCGCAATTTGAAGGATATTAAATTATTGATTGAAGAAAGAATTGGCTCTACTGACTGCCTTCCTGGTTTTAAAAACATTTTGGCAGAAAAGCTGACGGACTTATGTTGCTTGCATCACTTCTTAGCAGCGAAGTCAAAAATCAGGATTTGTTGAAAGGCTCCATACCGAAAGATCTCAGTGAATATTACGAAATTTGCTTAACAAGATTAAGTAAGGAATTAAATTCGTTTGATATCACTAACAAAAGGTTTCAGTCAATTTTAAATACTTTGGCTGTTGCTAAAGAACCTCTTCCTTGGAAAATGATTGATGACGTTCTTTGTTTGAATTCGAATCGCGACTCAGTTAGGGTTAGAAAAATTATCTCTTGTCTGTTTGTTACCAATGGAGAAGGATGTGTTTCGTTTTTTCACAAATCCTTAAATGATTGGTTGTTGGATGATCGAAAACATGATTACTCAGTAAAAACTTCTTATGGTCATCGACTTATTTTAGAATTTTGTATAAAATCTTTGGATAACCTCAAAGCTGAAGGCTTAAACTATGACGTCATTAAACATGTGACAGTGAGGTATTCAGTCAAGTATTGGTTGCTTCATTTACTTGATATTTCTGATAATGATTATATCGTTGAAAATGTTGGTAAATATCTTGTTGACTTGGAAGTTTTAGTTGCTTCTATTTTGGTTGATTCTCGTCGTACTTTTGAAAATTTTAAATTATTCAACGCACATGATGTGTACTTTCATATTTCTGAGGACATTCGATTGTTATTTAATGAAGTTTATTCTGTAATGACGTACTCTACGCGCTTTGACAATGAAGTAAATTTTTTGCAATACGTTGCCAACGACGTCAAAGACCTGTCGTCTCAAGCCACCACAATGCTTCAAACACGTTTCAAAGGCTCACCATATCTAGAGTGCAGAGACACGGGTTTTGTAAAAGCTCGATTATTACGTTTATTTCATTTTTTGAAGTCTGTTGATGTTTCACGAAATCATGATTACGTCGTCTGTGGTTATTCTGGATTCATCGTGCAACTTTTTTCATTGAGAACAAACAGATGTTTATGGATAAAAAATATTGCTGGTCAGCTTAAGCTATATGAAGAGGAAAAATTTAGCGCTGTCTTTCATCCATTTGAGGATTTGATTTTTGCTTCCCAGCTTGATAAGATACTAGATATTAATGGTAAAATTTCCTCCAGTCCGTTCCATTGTGATGATTTTACTTCTAAGTTCTTTACCAACAAATGTTTTTCTAAGGATAAGTACACAATGGTCACTAGTTACAAAGATACTTTGACAGTATGGGACGTTGAGAAAGGTGAGAAGAAACGCAGTATCAGATGTAATAATGTGACCTCACTGTGTTTTTCTAATTCTGGAAGATATTTGTGTGTTATTGAGGAAAGAAAAGAGGTTCACATATTTGATGTAGCGAATAATTATGAAACATTCGTTTACGACGATCATTTACCGTCTGGTAATTTAAGTAAGTCTGGTGTTTTGTTCACTGTTGGTCTTCATTCTTGGTGTTGTGTTTGGCCTACTTTCTTCTGGAGTAAACCTTTCATTGTAAATCCCACTGGTGAAAAACTTCCTGACTTAGATCCGGATTTCCAAACTTTGTTTTTTCCTCTTGATCCTTTCGATGAGAACAGATCTAGCTTTTCCTTTAAAGGATTTGGAAAGTATTATCATATATTGAATAACGACAATGTTCTTTTGTTTCAATACGGACGTGACTTTTATCTTTATTCAATACCGCGTGCATGTTTAACTAACAGTTACAGTTTTTATAACGAGAAATTTTGCTCAAATGTTAAATTTATGTATCGCAGCAGTGAAGAAAATTCAAGGATAGACATATACAATCTCAACACATTTGACTTTGTTGTCAAGGAATGTTTTTTTAGTGACATGGTTGCTGTAGAAAATAGAGTTATTTTGCTTACGGCAAAAAATATTCCTGAGCTTTGGAATAATGATTTGACAAAACTTGTTTATAGTTTCGATGAACTAAAAGGTACAAACAAAATTTTTGAGGTGAGTGATGTATCATTTGCTTGTCAAAAAACTGATTCTTTTGTGTTTTTCAATGTTGAAACCAAGCGAAAAGAAATATCAGTGAACTTTGAAAATTATCGAAATGTGCACGTATTTGCATGCAGCTCTAAGTATCACGTGTTTGCTGAAGTTGAATTTAAGGATCAGATAATTTACTGTGTGTGGCATGAAGACAAACTTGTTAATGGTTGGGATGACGTAATTAAGGAGGAAATCGTTAATTTAATCGCCGACAAAGTCATTGGAGAGTACTGGCGTGATACTACTGGCTATGAAAATTACGCTGTTTTTTCGCCTTCAGCAGATAAATTATTAATAAGTGACATGCGCAAGTATATGAAAGTATTTGACGTTAAAAACATACAAATTATTTACAGTTCTACAGAGAATTTTGAGCATTTTTTGGGGTCAAACTTTTTCTTTGTTGATTATATGTATGTATATAATGAATATAAACATTTGATTGATTTGAAATATTTTAAGATTGTAGAATTATTTCTCCCCCTTGTGAGTTTATTTCCAAGAACTCTATGTTACTGTCGTAAACGCAAACTTGCTTTAATTTTTTCTTCCTTAACGGTCCCGCTACTATGCGTAAAAATCGTCTTGCCACGAGAATAAATTTGATCTTTGATGATAAAATTTCTCGCCATTTTTGATATTGACCATATTATCTTTAAAAAAACCTTGTTCAATTTTTATGCATGATCCCTATCATTGTTGACATTTCAATTAATGTCTGTTTGCGTATGATTTCATGAAACGACCTTTGTCTAAGTTTGATTGTTCTGTACAGAGACCACAGTGTACGATAATGTCAACATTGAAAGAGATCATGTATAAAAGCTGAAGTTAATTAAAGATGAAAATTCAAAGACAATAAAGACAAACCATAAACACAAATGGTTTTGTGTCTACGATAATAATTTTCCTTGTACAAGAAAAAAAATTTATTGACTTTTATCTTATCACACAAACATATAAAGTACAAACTATTGCTAGTTATTGTACCATAGGTTATATTTTGTTATTATCTACACCATGTAAACATATAATTTTCATGCAAAGTATTCAGTGTAGGATGGTTTTAATATTGCACGTTTTTCGATACTCTTTTACGCCAAAAACAAGTTGTTACTAATTAAATCAATACTATCTTTCACTGAAATAATTTCTTAATACTTTTTAATTATTGCATTTTGATGTAAAAAATATCAATGCGTTAAGTTGTTAAGAGAGACAAAGACAGCCCAATTGTTACTTCGGTTATTTGAATATTTTCATCTTTATCAACTTGAAAAATGTAAATTTACAATAAAACAATGGTACATTTGCTAATTTGTTCTAGAAAAACTAAAAATTTGGCTGTCTTTCTCACTGACTGTTAAAAAGTAAATCATAAACTCTACAAGAAAATGACTTATGATTGACGTTCATCATCGTGATAAACATTTCAACTATTGTGACTGAACACTCCAAATAGTATAAACAGGAAAAGTTAACAAAAGTCAAAGTAAGTTTCGCAATATAGAGAGACAGAAAACAAACGAAAATGTTGCATATGGAAGGATGTTTAATGAGAAGTTTTTAACTTTTAATGAAAAATCGATATTGCAAGCATTGTTAAAGATTGAACACTTCTACTTT